GGAAATTAACAATAAAGATATCTTTCGTTTATGTAATTCTTTCAATACCCACCAAGAGGTACGCGACAAGCTGCGCAATTTTCAATTAATTGCCGAAGGTGTTGCGTTTCCAGTCTCTGAAACAAAAAAAAAAAAAAAAAAAGAAGAAAAATATACAATCAAGAACTGTCTATTAAATAGCCTTGAATAACTGACGATATCGTTACTCACGTTTAATTCTATTTCTCTCCAGACCTTCTTAGTCGCTTCGATCAGCTCGTTCAGTGTCTTCACGATTTGATTGTCCGTCAGGCAAACTGCGAAGTTAAAGTTTCGTTTCGGCATTTTATTAAAAATCTCTTAAAATTCATCAGAGATAAAAGACTCGCGTGTGACTCGCCTCGATGAATTAAAATCTCACCTCTTTCATCGAGACTTTGAATCCCTATGTCCCCTCTTCTCGGAACCCGTTTGTAATTCGCCTGACTCAATGCATCGAGTTCATCATAATTATTATGGTAAATAAATTCCGCGGATTTCTCGCGACCAGGCGGTGTCCTCTGACGCAAACGTTTCACGTGACCCGAAGAAACTTCCCGATCAGCTTCGAACTCGTTCGTAGAACGATATTTGTCGCTATTCGATCGATCTCGTTCGGCAGATTGATAATCACTTTTCGATCGACGTGTATCACTGAAATCGTCAAATTGATCCGCGTCCTCGAACATGTCTGAAACTTCATCTTCTTTCGACCGAAGATGATGATTTCCCTTGTTCTTTAATTTTATACGATACTTCGAGCCAGTGTCGGTCTCGTCGAAATTCTTGTCAGGATGGTTACTCGTTGGGCTTGCAATCAATTCGCGAGATTCTTTGTGCTTGTGGAAACTCGACAACGAGTCCATATCGGCCAGATTGTCCGGGCAGTTTTCTTGCTTCAGGGCGTCGATAATGGATGATAACGGATACACTTTCACTTGGTTCCTCCTTTCTCTGAACTAGAGACACAATTTCCAAGAATTAAATCCTTTATGTCGGAGAATCACTTTCAATAGTAAACAAGTCGATTTTTATGAAATACAACGTCATTTAGAGAGGAGGAGAGAGGAGAGGGAAGCTAAGACGATTTGTATGTTAACCAGTTTTTTTTTTTTTTTTTCCATGAATATCAAATGACGAATAAAAGGCAGGAGCGAGGGAAGAGAGATAGAAGAACAAAATGCTCTCCCTTTCTACCATAAATTACGAATTACGCGATCATCGTGACTTCTCTCCTATGCATATCTCGGGCGCAATCACAAGAAAGTGGGCCGTGAATATTCAATAAGGATGAAGTCTAAGCGTATCGAAATCGATTCACTATGCTTAAACGCATTAACGCGAGTTAACGCAGCTGTACGTAATAAAGGCGAGCAGCCTTGGACTGACCCGCCATATTTGGAATGGCATCATCCTACGAGATGAACGCCTAACGTCACCGGTTCTCTCAACAACTGTGAAATTCTTGATGATGGATGAAAGAATGTATTTTGGTCATTTGTTCTTTAATAAAAAAAAAAAAAAAAAAAAAATTGTAAAGGAAAAGAAGAAG